TTATCACATTCTAAAGAGAATACAAATGCAAGTCATGAACTGGAAGAGAGCATCTTCTACACATATAACGGAAAATGTTAGTAACCAGGATATGTTAAGAATCCCTTCAAAGCAATTAGAAAAACACCAACAACCCAAAAGAAAAAATATAGGCAAAAGTCTGAAAAGGTGCCCTACAGTAAAAGGAAATTAATATGACTGATAAACATATGAAAAGATGCTCAATCTGACTAGTAATTAGGGAAATGCAAACTAAAAGCACAATAAGACACCAATATATATGCACATTTATATTAGTTTTTTAAAAAGTTTAAAATGTGATCATTCAAATGTTGGTGAGGATATGAAAAAATACTGCAACATGCCAATATATGTGTGTGTCCATTTGGTCTGGCATTAATTCCATTTTTTACTTATGAAACCCAGACGAATGTTCCTCAAACTTTTTTGCTTGTAGCATATCTAAAAGAATTCTGTAAAAGTAGATCCTCTGCCACATTTTTAAATAGCCATCCAAAATTTTCACCAGAGTTTTAAAAAGTTGCAAATGATGCAAGTTCCAGTATGTGGTAAATACTGATCTTTTTAAGTGAAATGATTACACCACCTTGTTAAAGTTTCCAATGGACTGTAAATAGCATAGTAATTTAACAACATCTATTTAGAAAACATTAAAATATACTCCAGCAGAATAAATTGTTCAGTGTTATTTTTTTATCCTATATCTTCGTAAAGTCTAGGTTTAACTGAATTTTTCCTTCACGTTACATATTTTAAGCTTGAAAGTCCTTTGTTAGTATTTCTTCTCTATAATAAAAACAAGATTTTAAATTAAAATTAGATTTAAAAATTTTTCCTGTAATCACAAAGCTACATTAATTTTTTGACTGAGTTAACTTTAGAAATAATAGTACATAATGATCAAAACAACATTAAATATGTTTTGAAACTTTTTAAAACTACAGCACTCATGCCGAAGACAGTTACTGAGGTGTTAACTCAATGGTGAACACTTAGCCACCAATATTTCCAACATCTTCCGTGATGCTGGCCTCAGACATGAGGAAGAGATCTGAGTGCCACATTATAGCATCTACCCTGGTCCATTGCTTGATCCATTCAGACTCATTTGTGTCATATAATAAATTCTGGGTCAAGCTCTTGCAGAATTCTGATTTTTTTCCTGGAGAAACTGATAGAGGAAGTTTAGTGGGAGAAATTACATACCTGCCACTGCAGATGGTCCCAGTGGCACAACTGAACATCATTTCCTTCTCTACAACCTTTCTAGATTCCCATTTTCTCTGTTATTCCCTCCGCTGGTCAGCTCACACACTAATAGGGTAATCCAGACTCTCACTACTGAGAGGTCTGAACTCCGGGTCACTATGTTCTTAGGCCATGGTGGCTGCACGTGTCCATTTACTCTTGGCTGTTCCCGCTATAGGCCAAAACATCAATATGTTCTGCCACCTACATAAGGTCCAACTAAATATGTCCACTGGGATTATATATTTGGGGACCAAGGAAATTACCACTAAATGCATCCATGAGTCCAATAGATATACTTTTGAGCTGGACTTGGACCAAGACTCCGGTTCCGAAAACTGAGTGGGAGACTATGACTATTTATTAGGATGTCCACCTCCAAAAAAGGGTATTGGCTTTGGGTGAGGGCAATTATTGGAGAAGGGCTCAGCTGAAAGTTGTCACCGCTCTTGCTCCCAGCAGCGGTTGGAATGAGTGCCGCAAGCCTGGGTGGTGATCTGTGGTATGGCATCCATTGTATAACAACCTATCCTTTTAAAGTGAATGTAGGAAGGTAAAACTGAGAAGCTAAAGTTTGGTTGAAATGATGGAAAAGGGAGAAATCTAAGAATGTTTTGTATTCTCAATTTTCAGAGTTTCCATCTAACTCTGCCTCAATCTCAAAGGATAACTTACAATATTGTGTTCTCAGGCTCATGTGAAATAATTCTGATACAGCAAACCCAGGACTAAGTAACGTTGTGTGTCCTAAATTAAACAAAAGAAGTGTTTACCAGTGAAAGGGCTTTGGTAGGATTTTATGTATTTGTAGTAGGTGGAGAGAACAGCTGGAAAATTCTGACCTGACTAATTGAAACTGGTGTAAGAATAATGCCCTAAATGACAAGACTAGCTCTCTAAAATGTTGCATACCCTAGACTTCTCCACCTATGATATCAGGTATGATGAAAAACAACAAGACCATGAGAAAATCACTTTTTAAATAAAAATCAGTTCTCCAAATGTGAGGGGGCTCAGATGAAGTAAAGGCCCCAAAATAACATATTACTATGTACAGCACCATACCAGATGGCTTCTTCCGTTCCTGTGGGGGCAAAAAGTACTTTATTGCTGGAATTACAGAAATACTGGTGTGCACTATGACAGCTGAAGTTCAAGACTACTCTTGATTCAAAGCCCTGAGAAGTATTGCTTTAGTTCATGATAACTCAAACTGCTATGTAT